ACTGGGGTCGAACACCAAAAGCTGAACGACCACTTTGGTCGAAAATCGAGAGACCCGCCACTGGGGTCGAACACTGAAAGCTGAACGACCACTGAGGTCGAAAACCGAATGACCCGCCACTGGGGTCGAACACCAAAAGTTGAACGACCACTTAGGTCAAAAATCGAGAGACCCACCACTGGGGTCAAACACCGAAAGCTGAACGACCACTGAGGTCGAAGACCGAATGACCTGCCACTGGGGTTGAACACCAAAAGCCGAACGACCACTGAGGTCGAGAACCGAGAGATCCGCCACTGGGGTCGAACCTTGATTCCTAGAGCAGATTTCTATGCTCCTCATTTGGAAATGTCGACTCTCCTTTGCTCTCTCCCGATCTGCTTACTTTGGTAGATTTCCTCGATCAATCCCCGAAGTCTTAAATTTGAAAATTTGAACTCACGTCTATTGTTTCTCGACCACCATGTTAGAGCTCTCTTCATTCAAAGATAAACCTTTTCGACCACCATGCTGCGGGATTGAATATTTATAATCTTATTGATGTATTGTGCTCAAACATATGTGCAAAATTAATGCAGAATATATACTTTCATATAATGTGCGATAATTTCAAAAAATAACTTTTAGTGCCTTGGAGGAAGTACATGTAACTAAGACTTTGGAAAAGTCAAATTTTATTTAGAGAGGAAATTCGTTCACACCCCATGGAGGCATAGGTAACAATTTGTTTATATATAGAGAGAGAAATGTAGTAGTTTATACATTTATAAAAAAAAGTATCAGCGATTTTAATGTCACAATTAGTCATTTGATAGAGAGATTATGAATTATTAATAAAAATACCTTATAAAGATCATACAATCATGAAGTTTAAATTTTGGTTGAGATTGTAACATGTTATTTCATTCCTTTTATATTAAGACATCATTATGTTATTTTTGAGAAAAAATACCTTAGGAGCTCATTTGTTCTACCTTTTATTTCGTTTCTGCAATAATATATTTAATAAATTAATTAATTTATGTTACTAAACTTAATTTGTTGGCCGAAAACATTCACAACTACGTGCATCGCACGTGCACTTTACTAGTTATATAAAAAGAAACAAAGTGTGATTTTCAAAACTTAAAATACCAATAAGGATATTAAAAAGAATTAATTCATGGTCATTTACAATAATCCAAAAATGTTACAAATCATCGTTTATCCTTTGGCGAAATTTTATATTTACCACAAGATTTTAAATATATTGCATTTATACAAGAAGTGAGATTTTATTTGCATGCCTACCAATTAAAGTGCATTTATTTACGCTGAATAAAAAACTTCCGTTACCAAAGTAAGCCACCTTCCTACAATCACGCCTCTATAATAGGATTGCACAAAAAAAAAAAAATTGGTAAGTCAATATATCCTATTAATTAGGAGTTTGTTCAATTCAAATAGGAAAGATTATGAATTTGAATTTCATACGACTTTTTCTTCTTGATACACACAAATCCCACAATATTGAAAACATATTTCACAAAACACAGGTATTTTTTACTTGTCGACCTGTTTTTTGTTTATTTTTTAACATCGCAACATGTTAATAACGTATATGAAATGTATATATTGAGTATATATATAATTATATCTCGAGTAACTGTTACCAACTAATTAAATGGTGACAAAAATATGGCAAATTAAATCTCTCTCTTCCGTCAGCTAATCATGTATATTTAAGTATATAAAACAAGTTGAAATCGTACTCATGTACATATACTAAAAATATACTATCAACCTTAACATATACTAAAAAATAGTATATTTGTCGAGAACATATACAGAAGATATACTCATTGTATACAGTCGACATAAAAGAAAATACACAACAGAAGATAAATCAATCTTGTCATTATATACAGAATATACAGAAGATATACAAAAAAACAAATTAGATATATAGTCGCAAGCTCTCCTCCGGCCCACGTACGGGCAATCCAGCGACCATCATAGCCACCACGACACGACCCTCGTGGCCTCCGGCTGTCAGCCACAATGACCCGGCTACCACCACATACCACCACGTTCTCTCTCTTCAGTTTTTTCTTCTCTTTTTCTTTTTGTTGTTTTGATCGCGGGCCCACTCTGAGCCCTCCTTCAGTAGAGGCAGTCTTGCGTCCATCTCAGCTACCATGGACTGACCACCGGGCTCTGCTGGCCGCTGCCTTCTTTATATGTTGTTTACGTATTTTTTCTTCCCCGCTTCTGACAACTTGCAGCCATCGCGACCACAACGATACGATCACCGCGACGCAACAACCACCTTGTTCGTTTTTTGTGACGTGTGGAGAGAGAGAGAGAGAGAGAGAGAGAGAGAGAGAGAGAGAGAGAGATAAAGATAACCAAAAAAATATTATTTCCACGTCGAGAACGAGTTTTCGCTGTGGATATGGTGTGTAAAGAAGAGAGAGAGAGGGAGGAGGAGGAGAGAGAGAGAGGGACTATATAATTATGAGAGTTACCTATTCAAACCAACTTATAGTATATATGCAAACAATATAATAATTTTTGTTACTTTGCTAATCCCCCCTATATATTAATTCAAAATATGCTGAGCTTAAGTGGCAGGTTCGCACGCTTTGTAATCCTACATTTCACAATATCATGCTTTGTATTTAGGTTCGAATAAAAATTTTGGAAACAAAATTGACTTGGAAAGTGTCATAAATATTTTTTCCACCATACGTTATTGCCTTCCATCATTCTAACTTTCATCACCAAATTTGTCTTGAATTTAAAGATCACACAAATCTTTCTTTTCTTATTATATTTTACTAAGGATTTATCCCATTCATATTCTAATTTTATTGATAATATAATTAATGAAATCTTAACTAAACACGTCCCTTGTCTTAATTATCATAAATTTTAGCCATTATCTTAATTATCATCCCTTATTTTACTTATTCAAGTTGATTAATTTTAGCTCATTCAATGTATTTTTTTTTTTCTAAATTGATAAATTTTAGCCATTTTCAATCCTATGTCTTTGTTTGCGTATTGATGAACTAAAATTATATATTATAATTACAATGTGATAATATAATTAATAAAATCTTAACCAAACACATCCTTTATCTTATTAATATATTGATCTCTTGATTTACGGGTGTCACAATTCATTATAAATTTGTGTTGCGAAAAAGATGAAAAAATTGTAAGTAGAAATATCGTGTACAAATAAATTTTGTAGAATTTGAAACAAAATATCAATGTACAGTAGTTATTGTTTTATGAAACAGTACTTATTGTTTTATGAAACTTTTATTTATTTATTTTGTATATCTTACAATAACTAAATTCTTTTAATTTTTTCGTTCAAATTATTTTTTCATGCACCCATGTAGTACACGGGTGTCGTACTAGTAAATATATAAGGGTTATAAATGTGCAATAATATTGTAATGTGTAGTAGATTATGTGTTGTTTTACCCTGTTGGAGTTTGTGTGTTGTCTGTGTTTTTAGTTTATTACCCTGTTGGGGTCGGCTCTAGGCGGTCTTTGGACCTGTCCTCTCTTTTTTCAGTCGTTGGTTGTTTCTATTCAGCTGTTAGCTGTTTTGTATTCAGCCATTGGCTTTTGTACATTTGAGCATCCAAGATTTAGAACTTCAATTCGATTTTAACCATGCACAATGGCCTAACAACCAATCAATGGTAGGTCCAAGGGGAACGTGCCCTAGAAACCCCATGTAATCATGCTTCTAATCATCAAATATAATCTATCTGTGAAGGATATCCAACAACCCATCTACCACTCCAAAGACAGAGAGTCCAAAAGAACTCAAGTAAACCAGTTCTACCCATACAAAGTTGCATTATAGACATCACAGGAATAAAAAAACCGAATAAAATGATAACCAAGTTAAAAAAATAAAACTATAACAAAATAAACTTCCTAGTGCAACCCACATCATGTAATTTTTTTATTTTTATTTTTATTTTTTTTTTCTTCTTCTTCACCTAATAACAGTCTCTTACCAAAAGTCACCAAGCTATGAAAATCTCACCAGCAATTAACAATCTTGTTTCTTAACCAGTAAAAGACGCATCTGGGCCGTGATCTTTCTGAACAGAAGACGGCATAGAATTTCTCATCTTCAGCTGTTGTTGTTCTTGCTGCTGCTGATGCTGTTGAAACTGCTGCTTTTGGGAATGTATCTGAAGCTGCTGCAGCTGTTGAGCCGTTAGAAAAGTGTGAACCGCTTGGTTGTTTCCGTAGTACTGTTGTTGGTTAGCTCCATAAGATGGCGGGAAATTCATCATGGCCCCACCATTGTTCATTGTTTGTCCAGTCAGCACTTTGAGATGCTGGATCTCTTCTTTCAGTGCATCGTTGAGTGCTGTAGCAATATAATACTTTTTAATGTGCGTTTTTTTTTTTGGGAAAAGAAAAAATTGATAGTAGTGTTTTGGGCAATTGAGTTGTGACGATATTATCTGGAACCCAAATTATCACAAATTAAGATAATTGAGTTTGGCTACTTTTTAGCAAGTGTTTGCAAACACTTCTGCTTTCAGAAGTAGAAGCATAAACAGTTACCAGAGTTGGTAGCGTACGCAAAACAGAATCTCAAAATTGAAGTAGTGTTTGGTTGAGAAGTTGTAAAGCATATCATCTCGTTTGTGTGCAAATGCCAGAATAGAAACTCACTCAGAAATCTACACTGAAAAAAACCAGAAACTGTCACTTTGCAAACTCTAATGTGGCCTTTACTATATAGTTGGTAGCAGCTACTTTTTGTTTGTAGATAAGCACCACTGGTGTAAGCTCCCATGTATGTCTCATTGTAATAGAGTGTAATAAAAGGAAGAGGAAGAAAAAATTAGAGTAAAAGCAGTAGATATTTACTTACCATCTTGCAAGTGTACTTGTTGTTCCATGGTCTGCAAGCGTAGTTTGAGTTCACTATTTTCAGCTGTAAGTCCATTTGTATCTCCCTGTTTCACAGTAATACGAAGCATTCAGTACACGCTACCCTAGTCTTAGCTGAAAATAGATAAGACTTTTCAAATAAGACAGAATTAGGAGAAAATGCAGCCGAGAAGAAATAGAATTACGTGTCATGATTGCATATTGGACAATATAAAAATAGTTCAAACACAAACCCTGGAAAAATTTCCTTTTGTCAACCAAAGTACCAAACCAAAATAAGTTTGTTCAGATAGAGATGCACATGCAACATAACGAAACCTTTTTATGTCTCTCACCAGAATATGACCAAACCAACTCTTCGAAAGAGCTCATCATTTTAACCAATATGAGCTGATACAATAAGTACATGAAAATTAGGCTAAAAATTACCTGTAGTAAGGTTAACTGAGCAGACAAAGAAGTAGCTTCTGTTTGCAAAGTCTGGACTTTCCTTTCAAGCTCAGCAATATACCTCATCTTACGTTCCTTTGATCTTGCTGCTGACTGCCTATTTGCCCAAATCCTGCAACCAAAAGAACATGAAACCAGTGCTATCAAATTTCTGCCTAATTCTTAATATTTATCTTCAAAGACATCCATCCACCATAATGCATGACAGGATTTAGTCATATATATTATTTAATATTATGAATATTGGAACAGAATATGGCACAAGTAGAGAATCCTTCTCATAACAAAAACAATCGTTAAAATGTTGAACTTGATGAGACAATGTTATCCACAAAGTAGACCAACAGTTATCTCAATCCAAAAGATGCAACTAATGACAGAGAGATGAAAGGAAATACTTTTAAGAATGATAATCCACCAAATCACGATTATAGTTGCTTTCATTCGAATAAGCAAAAGGATTATAACTTGCAAACCAACATATCACAAATCATCCACGTGTAGAAGATATACGAATAACTGGGTAATTTAAATTTGAACAGATCCGAAACCAAAATGTACACCAACACATTTAACATAAAAGCTATAACTGTCCGTCAAAGGGACAAAGACACCGCAACATAATTAGTGAACATAACTCGTTCAGGAAGTCGCGATAAAAGATTTTTTTCATGTGAATAGATCCTAAAATCACATAAACAGATCAAATGATCATTGATTTCATGTGGTCTTGGTTCAGTATTAAACTAAGTTGTTTCAGCTTTTCTCCCAAACCCAAATTTAAAACATACATAAAAAATAAAATAAAGGACGGACCAGACACCATGGAGATTCCTGCATATTAATTCAATCAAGTTCAAGCATCTAATAAATGCATCTCATATGCAGCTTTTGTCCGCATCAGTAAAGGGGTCAACAAGGAAGAACTAATTGATAATTTTCCTTCACTAACATATCCAACTTTATGGGTATACGCAAAAAGATATCACAAAATGAGGTTCTTAGGATCTCATATATCGATTTCAATCCAACTCAAATGGAAGTTGGACACTTCAATACAGGCCAACAGAGCAGTTTCTAAAAAAACTCAATATTAGTCAACATGAACATGTCAAAGATGTAACACAAGTACTCTACAACAACAACAACAACAACAACATAGCCTTTTAGTTCCAAGCAAGTTGGCGTAAGCAAGATGTAACACAAGTACTCTACAACAACAACAACAACATAGCCTTTTAGTCCCAAACAAGTACTCTACAACAGAAAATAATGACATCAAATTGTTCTAGCAAAACTATTATATATTTTCAATCCTGAGACGCTGAAGGTATTTGATGAAGGAAGCGTACGATGGGTTTTGTATTACAAGAGAGAATTCTCAAACCCGAACAATTTTTATTCAATACTAAATAATCTGTTCAAATGACAAAGCTCCAGTGTCTTATGTAGAAGACATGACCTAACAATAAAATCTTAAAAGCCCAAAAGCCCAATAAACACAAGTCCAATAATAACTAAATAGGAATAAGCATAAATAATAATGATAAATAGAATAGTGATCAAATAAGAGGTCGGAGACGATCATGTCTGTCAAGGAACCTTCAAGATGCCGGTACGATTCAATAATATCTCGTTTACTCGTTTATCTTTCTCACTCGTACGCTTTCCTACATCAGTTGGTATCAGCAGTCGGTACGATTCGCGATGTTGCCGGGACGACAAGATGCCGCAAACAAACGATGTGATGCAACCTTCAACGATCAGTTTCAACATATCGACTACCGATTTGAACAGTTGGACGTGCGTTTCACGGATTGGTTTGCAGATCTTTCGACGGGAATCGAGGATTAGCGTTTGACGCTTAACAACGTGATCTGGGATTTGCAGATGAACCGTGCCGCCGGCGATCGGGGTGTGCGCGGGGGAGTTCACGGAGGAAGTGGAGGTTGTGTTCCAGGCGGAGCGCCCCGTCGGCGATCTCCACAACCGCCGCCCGGCGGTGCACACGGCGAGGAGACCATCTCGGAGGTGGATCCCTTCGGAGAGTGGCCGCCTCCGCCCGTCGAGACTAAGCTCGTTGTTGCACACGACGACCAAGATGTGCGGCAACAGAGTGCGATTTTTTAGGAAAATGACGGGCTATTGTACGACGGTCCGCCTATTTTCGATGAGGAGCCTCCTGTGACGGAGACATATTTTTGCGGCAATATGGGTCCTGCGTGGGATGTCGTAGAAGTTGAGCCTTTGACGGGGATGCTATCATTGAAACCCGATGTTTGGAGTATCTTGGCCAACGATGGTTTTTGGGAGCCGACTCCGAGGCTCAATAACTGGTGGACTATTTTCCGATTGTCTATCCCGAAGTCTCTCAACAACGAGATGCTTGGCCGTAGTTATGGATTTGAGTGCGGTGAACGATGTGGTATGTTTGGTGTTAATTCCACTGTGTGGGTTATGCATATGGAGACGTGTACATGTGCCTTTGCAGCAATTCAATCCTTGCCCATGATTATGTTTACCATCGGGATTGTTGGACGACATTCATCCTTCGTGTTCGACCGGGGGAAACGACGGGGGTTTCCTACCGTGAGTCCGACACCACAGACCGGCCATGGGAGTGCATCGGCTTCGAGGAAGAAGCCTTCCGAACCGGAGGAGAATGGTGTAGATTAGTATCTATTATTATTATTATTATTATTATTATTATTATTGAATAGGTGTCTTAGAGAGTAAGTTAGTAATTTAATATTATTGTTTAATATTTAATAAGAGTTCTTGTCTTGTTGGACAAGTTAAGGTCTAGGGTTAGGAGCCTTATATAAAAGACTCCCTTTAGTTTATTTTCATTAGTTGATTTTTGAATGAAATAAGATATTATGAGTTTTGTGTGTTTTACGAGAGAGTATCTCGTTTATCCTTCCCACTCGTACGCTTCCCTACATCAATATTTCATAGTGACCCCAATAAAATATAACGTTAGGAAATGGTATTTCAAATTTACTTATATGCATACGCAGTCTGCAGCACCTTATTTTACCAGCATTACTGATGTAACATTTAGTAAGATACTCCTTTTATAATTTTTAACTCTTAATACACTGAAAGCAACTCAACTCTTCTTCATTGATCTGTTTGATCTTTGAAATATTTTACATTGTATCACCATTACATTCCACGTGCCAAAGGACTTGAGTAACCATTTAAGGCTCCACCACAAATCATTTAAATATTGCATCCATATATTGCATACGCAGGATTAAAGTGAAACGGTCCCTGTGAAACCTGTATTATAGTATTATTCCCCACCTTCCCAAAGGAAAACTACACATAAAGAAACTATATGAGTGATACGTGGATATTAATACAGCAATTACAAACATGAAGGTCAGATAAGCATGCACAACATTTAGAAACTATTCAACATTAAAAGCCAAAAACTCATGAAGCTAAGCAAAACAGGGTTCTGTCAGATGCCATGAATTCTCTACTACAACAAGATCCAGATGATATAAAATTATAAATACCTTAGCAAGGACAAAACAAATATGTAAGTAGCCAAAATAGCATTAATCACACATTACTCCACCCCTTCAATTTGATCCAAAAAAAAAAAAAGACATAACAATTTCATCGACGAGCAGACACCACAACTCAACCACCCACAAAACGGTAGAAAAGAATTCAGTGCTTAACAAACACATCAAGACCAAAAGTCAACAAAGGCAAGTGGCGCGCGAAAATGTACGTTTTACCTCTTAGCACGCTTTGGATCAATAAGAGCAAGCTCGGCAAGCTTAGCAGCAGACATCGCTTTCTTAGCATCGCCTGGCGAAGGATCTTCTGAACCTGACATGAGCATTTCCGGTTTAATGGAAGTCGACCCATCCATGGACTGGCTATGCTGATGCCTAATTCTTGGTTTCTCACTGATAACTGTACCGACATTATCACCCGACTGATTGGCAGAAGATGAACCCGACTCGCCTGCCAGCACATTATTAGACGACTCGCCACATGCTTGGTTAGCAGAAGTTGCGGAAGAAGAATTGAACTTATCCATGTCAAGATACATTGACAGTAAGTCCTCCTCAGTATCATCGGAAAAGGACGGCCCATCCAATCCTCCCACAACACCTAAATCGCTATCAAAGCTGATGTCATCAGGAAGAGTCAGAATCTCAGAGTGAGCACGCCTGTGGCCCAGATTCTTAGGCGGGTTATCGGGCATACGGCTTAGGTCATGACTAAACCGATTAGCAGACTGCACACTGTGACCAAAATGACCCTGGTCAGATGAGCTACCTGGCGCTAATGGAGGCAAATTCGACATTCCCACTTGATCCGGTTTCATGTTGAAACTACCTTTTGGCGGCGAGAAAGCAGAATACCTCCCAGATGGAGGAAATGAATTCCCACTTCCATGGTGAGGCTTATCCTTATCCATTAGTGTGAATCTTCAATCTTTATAATTTCAGGAATGTAATGATTTACTTGTAAAATCCCTAAGCATAAAAAGCTCTGTGCAAACCAAAATCAAACAAAACCCTAAACTCCGACTCCTTGTGCTTTCTTGGACAGAATTACTTTCCCCCTTTTTTTTATCCTGGTAAATCTGCAAAAATGGGTTACTGAATATAACCCGAACAAGAATTCAAAAAAAATACGATTGGGTTCAACAAAAGTTACTTCAAATGAAAAGCCATGAGATTCAAACCCTATGAGAGCAAATAAACACACACAAAAAGAACAATGGTAAGGTCAGCAATGATCTGATTATTCAATGAACTCAATTATATTGAAGAAAGCTAATGCATAAAAAATGAATTGAACAAAGCCCATTAGAACTCCAAACTCAGAAACAGAGTCTCCATACACGGGATGCATACAAAATTCAGAATAAGATTGATGTATGTATCAGTAATACAGAACATGGGAATTAAAAGCAAAAAAGAAAACACCAAAAGATAAAACACGGGAAAAGCGCTCACAGGTAAAGATTTTATTTTTCTTGGTTTTTGTTCTCTTTCTATATTTCCTGACCTAGCGATTAGATCTACAGAGAACAATTGAGAAAGTCTCGAACAGCATTTTCACATGCGAGTTGAGAAGACGAATAACATTTCACATGGTGACATAAGGAAGCTTGAAAGAGACGATGAACCAGATTGATATACACATATATGCAGATACCGAGAGACGGACGCAAAATGTTCCGTGCGTGTGCGTGTGCGTGTAATAAAAAGTGGTAAAGTGGAAATATATTTTTTTTCACCCGAAATATAATTACACTATTGTACAGCTTTTCACCCGATATATAAAGTGTTTTTACTGTGCGGAAAATGTTTTTCACCGTGGTCCCCCGAGCGATTGATTGATAAGTGAATCAACTATCTAAAAACTCTTTTCTCTCTCTAAAACTCCTCCAATTCATATTCATAAATCCCTAAAAAGTTTCAGTACATATCACTGTCGCCTCCCTTTTGTAGGCGCCGTCTTTTCACGGCGCTGAAGACTACACTAGGTACCGGCGAGTCTCCTTCCCTGACGGCCCCTGCAAATCGGCGAGGCGCTTCTCCATTTATGGTAGCCTTGGTGGTGCTTTGGCGGGGTCCCCACGAGGGTTGGTGGGCTCGTGGTCGCCGTCGCTGTTTCGTTGCCTTAGGCGGACAACTTTCGCTGCGATTATCTCGTCTCCGGTTGTTGGGGCGGGTAGTCCGACGGTGGGGGCTTTGGGATTTCGGTGGGAGACATCCGACTGTTCCAGGCCGGTTTGGAGTTGGAGGTGTAGAATATGTGTGGTTTGTGAAATAAAAAAGACGGCTTAAGAAGAATGAAGAAAACAAAACAAAAATCAAAGTCGAGGCACGTAATAATTACGTTCTCCTTAAGACGAAATTGCCCCGTAAAATATCCACGATTAACGGCAAACGCCTCCAAGATACAACGACTTTCGACTTGTTTATAGCGGTACTTCAAATATACAAGCCTTCGGCGAACAATACTATTGTTTGGAACTCTCAAGACTCGACGAAAAAATCAACGAACACAATATGCTTTATGAACTTTGAAAATAAAATGCAAGAGCTCTTGAAAATTTGATGTCTGAAACTATTTCACTTCATGGAAATTTATAGATGTTATAATACATCTCCAAAGGGTTCAAGGCATCAAAAGACACCTTTTGGGACATGCCCGGTCGACCAAAACCGATTAGAAACCTGTCCAGAATGAACAGGTGCGTCAGGGTCGCGAGTCGTTGTATCTTGGAGGCGTTTGTCGTTAACCGGAGACGGCTGCGACACAGAATATTCTTCCGGTAACGGCAAACGCCTCCACGGTTAACGACAAACGCCTCCTGCGACACAGTAATTATATCTTGTGTTTTTTGACCCTTTATGTGAATTTAGCATTATAATTTTTTTTTTTTATTCTCTCGTTGTTCGAAATTCTTATGTTAATGAAAATGTTCCTTTATTTTATAATTAATAGGTACACTATGGGCGATAATCAAAGGAAGAAATTCTCTTACTATTGGAGCTAGGTAGTCTTTAAACAAGTTCGATAGTTGCGTACTATTTCTATAGTCATATCTATAAAGAACCATGCGTTACGTCTTGTCAACTAGGGGATATTGGATGAGAAAAGTCCTAACTGGACATCAAATTCGATGTGTCAATGTTTTTAGAATGAGTTCAAGCGTATTTATGCGACAATGTGAAGATTTGAAAGATAAGTTGGTTGTATAAGCAAGTGATAGAATGTCAGTCCATGAGAAGGTTAGTATATTAATATATACCATTGCCTTGAGAATTTCTAATAGGGATGTTAGTGAGAGATTTCAACGTTCAGGGGAAACAATTAGCAGAGTATTTCATGATGTTTTAGAATCAATAAGTGGAAGAAGCAGACAATATAAAGGTCTTGCACGTGATGTTATTAAACCTAAGGATCCAACTTTTCAATTCATACCACCTCATATATCTAATGATACTAGATATATGTCATACTTCCAGGTAATAAGTCTTTTACAAACTTTACGTATAGTATTTGTCTGATTTTAATTTTTCTTTTTGTCATAGACATTAAGGATTTTCATATGTATGCAAGATTGCATAGGTTGTATTGATGGTACACATATTGAAGCATGTATTCCAAAGAAAGAGCAATTTTTCGCTATAGAGGAATAAAATGAATCCCTACTTCCAATGTCATGGCCTCATGTGACTTCACATGCGTTTTACATTTATATCGGTTGGGTGGAATGGATCAACACATGATACGCGAGTCTTTCTTCATGCAATCGAGACATCATCTATGAACTTTCCGAAACCTCCTATGGAAATTTATACTTTTTATAATTGTGTCCTAAAGAATATTAAATATGTCCCCTAGATTAAAATTATTTTATTTTTTAACAGGTCGATATTACTTAGTTGATAAGGGATATCCAGACCGAAAAGAATTATATTGTCATACCCGAGAATAAGATACTATTAGTCTGAATTCCAACACGAGTTTCCAAATAATGCTGAGGAAGCAATCAATCGGTTTCATTCATCTCTTCAAAGTTGCATTGAAAGATCATTTGGAGTATTAAAAAAGAGATAGAAAATAGTAAGTAAAATGACTAAGTATAGTGTTGAGACACAGATTGATGTGATAATGGCAGCATTTGCATTACATGACTTCATTCGGATCTATTCAAAAGATGATTTGTTGTTTGGAGTGCTCGAGAAGCATCCAGAGTACATAACAGATGAATCTGGTTCAGATTCTGGCTGCGACAATTCAAGAGAAACTAACAATGTGATGAAAAATGTTCGCAATGATATTGCAAAGATGATTTGGAATCCAACAATATAGGTCTTTTATGACTTATTTCTTTTGAACAAAAATATTTATTTTTGATATGTGAATTTTAATTAGTGTGATTTTTATTGATAAATGTGCGTTTGTTTTTTTTTTTTCTAATCAATGGAAATAATAATATAAGCATATTAATAAATTTGTGATAAATATTATTAATTGTATTTTTTAACTAGCTTATAAACTATTATTAATTAGTGTTATTTTTGTTGAAAATTGTGTGTTTATTTCTTTTAAAGATCAATGGAAATAATAATAATAATCATATTAATAAATTTGTCATAAATATTATTAAGCTAACTATGTACTTTCAAATTTTAAGTAATTGTATTTTTTAACTACCTTATAAGCTATTATTAATTATTGTTATTTTTATTAAAAATTGTGTGTTTATTTTTTATTTTTAATGATCAATGGAAATAATAATAATCATGTTAATAAATTGTTCATAAAAATTATTAAGCTAACTATGTACTTTTAAATTTTAAGTAATTGTATTTTTTAACTAGCTTATAAGCTATTTTTACCATACATGTTAGCAAACTTTTCAGCCATAAGCTATAATCTATCAACTTATAGCTAGCTTATAACTTATAAGCTATCAGCTAGGTTTACAAAACACAACCGTAGTGGATTTGCTCCCGAGCTGCTCCCAGGCCGTCGATAATCATGCAGGCCCAATAAAAAACGAACGATTAGCCAAAGATAAACCCATGAATCCTTTCTTATCCTAGTTAACAAACGAGCCGAGAGTGAACATCGTATTCTTGTACATGAACATGAACGTCTACTATCTCCATAAGTTAGATTTCACGCGGTACACGTTTTATGTAGCTAGAAATAAGTGTGGAAATCTTTAAATAGATAGATAGATGGATATTACCTCCATTTTAGTATAGGCAAATTATTAGCTGGTCATCAACAATTCAAATGCCCCCAATCTTCTCAAACCAAGAAAAAGTACCAGAAAACTGAACAATATATTACAACAGTATCAGTATTGCCGCACTGCAATTTGAGGCTTTTTCGTTTGTCAGAAAATGTAGTCGGGCAGCTGCAGGGGAAAGCAAGCCACTTCAACTGCAAATGGGTTACCCTTTGGATCTACTAACCTGAACACACATTGACACAAATCAACCCAAAAATTAATTTATGTGTTTGTTTTAGTTGTCTCATATCCACTCAAGTTTCAGCACATGATGGAAGTTGATTCCAGAAGATATACTGTAGGCAATACAAAATTTTTAGAAGAGATTGACCAATTTAAATTCGGGCATTAGATTTCCTGGTCTCACATGCATCAACCTCATTTAGTTTTGAGAATTTTTTACTTACATAATCTCCATAATTAGCTAATCGAAAGGTAGTATAAAACGGGGCATCTAATGCAGGCTGTATCGCATCTAGTAAATACGACATGTCCACATATCCACACAGTGAAAAGTGTTTCAAAATGGAGTTGACAGGTAATATGATCAGTTTAATAAAAAGTTTTATGGCATAAACAGTAAATGTACCTTCCAGGAACAAAAGTAAAAGAGCCTTCAATAGATCCTTGTGGTGCCGGTAGAGGTGTACAACTCTCATAAACAAACTCTTCTTCACCAGGACGTAGTAGTGGAAACTGCAGGTACACAAATTAATTATTATATTAGTCACAAAATGGAGGTTCAGGTCCAGGAACTGCCTATAAATCACCAAGTAAACCGACTAAAGATGTCTAGATTAAATAGTATCTTTTTTTTCCCCTTCTCTATTTATTATAATTCATAAACTGTGTTGAGAACCACTTGTGTATAGCAAATGCACAGAGGTCATAACCAAGATCACAAAAGAACTGTACTTGCACTATTTTCATATACACAGAAAAGAAAACACTATTTTTTTCCTTTCCAATCAATAAATGTTTACCGCACACTAGTGCACTCACATCATTCAAATTACTCGGCCCTCTGATCCAAGTTAAACACATCCCAATAATGATTGTGTAATTTTTACAAATTACCAGTGTATGTGACTGTTTCATGCATCGCATCAGCAAGATTCCAGGAGTCAAAAATTATGAGTTATAAATCGGTAAGCTTCTCACCTCCTAGTAGATATATAAGAATGTTATCTCTTCGAGGAAAAGAATTAGAAGAGTGCATTAAAAATGTTGCCAGCCAGGAATTTTTACTTAATTTGAAAAACCTAACGAAGATAGCACAACGAAATGGGAACTGCCTATGTTATCTCTTAAACAATACCAGTAACTAGACAGACTCCTTTGGAAAACTTTTACTGACAATAATTTTTATGTTACCAACTCTGGGTACAGATGCTAGTTCTAGTTCAGCCTAAAACACTCCACAGTCACGAAATAAACTATAACCCTTTAGCCATTGTAGAGTGACTATGATTTTAGAGGTGCTCACACACAGTAGAGAATAAATCATCTTGTCTTGGAAGCTTATGTTATGCATGAGAAAACCAACCTTTCCTATCACAGCTTCTCCATTTATATCAGAAACAATAACATCACGAGAGCGTATAATCCAGTGCCTCCAATATAATTGGCACGAGTTGAATGTCAGACCATTGATGATGCAACCATCAGGAGAAAGTGACAGGCGAACTGAATAAGCAAACAAAAACTTCTCCGACTCATCCTGAAGGTTACTGAACTCAGGCACAAATGCAGCAGAAGCACGAACCTTGAAACAAATGAAAAATCGGACAAAATAAAATGGCATATGTGATTGGAGAATGGCGACTGAAATAATGCAAATTCATATAAATAACCAATTCATATTCACAAAATTGGAGTTCACGAAACTAGACCAGAATTTCATGCATGTAGAATCATTCATTAACAGTAAATAATGATGCAAGACTATTTTACATCTTCTGTAGATTGTTCAATACAAAAAGCACCATAACATAATAAAAACCCATCATAACTCTGGAGTTTCTTACACACATGCCATTAGCTACTCTCCTGAAGGAAAATCAGCAGGTCCAAGTGACAAAGTATTGATTTCAAACTGCCATTCAAGAATAGTTTTNTCTCCAGTGTTTGAAAATGCCATCACCTATCATGAAGCAGGGCACTGATTGATTACAATCAAGAAACCAGCCGTATAAGTTAATAGACACAAGTGAGCATGTTTCACTAAATGGTTCAAAAAAATCCAAGCATTGCAAAAGACTACAGGATCTTTACCACAACTGATGTGTTCCGTACCTACATTGTTACCTCATACGTAAAAACTTGAATAACACATGTTCTAAACTTCATGTAACTCAAATAAAAAATAAAAAATAAAAAAATGTTTTACCATGAAGAATTCAACCTGTCTCCAACCGAACTTGAAATTTATATACAAACTAAGGAATTCATCATATGGGAAATACAACAACCTAAAAGGGACCACCATCAACCAAAATTCTTTCATAAGGCTGCAGGCAATCAGCTTGAAAATACAATTGATTAGCTTATGTCATCCTCAGGATTTCTAAAATACTTCAACAAAAAGTGCAAAGAAATACCATAATTAACCGGAAAATCTCCAGACAGATTCAGACATATGCCCATGCTCAAGCCAGACAACAATACACCACACAAAGCAAAACAAACTACACAAAAATGAGAAGCCACGCTATTACGCAAGCCGAAATAAAGTCAACAGCTACCTTAACCCCATTCGTCACCGCAGAAGTGCAGAGAGGTGGCAGCTCAGGGAACAAATTAATGCTTCTGATTTTTCCCTCTTTGCGTACTTTAATGATTCCATTCTCTAAGCGACGGCCATGCTCTTCAAGCCACAACAGCATTGCATCCTGCTGCTGATCGCCTTCAGCATCACGCGCACAATTTATTAACTCCTCAGGCACACAAGGCAGCATTTCTCCCTCAGTCACCAGATTTCTCGTGCCCACAAAGAGCTGCCCACTGCTGCAGTCGAAAAGGAATATCTTCTCGCTGTAAGTAGCAGAAGCTGCCACCACAACATACTTATATCTTGACCCAAGCTGAGGCATAATGCTCCTTGTGTCGATCATCACTTGCCTCAAGGGAAGCAAGAACACATTCACAAGATGATCATACAGTGTGTACCCACCAATTATACCTAATAGGCTCGAAGGTAAGCCTCCACTAAAGTGTTCACCCGGTAGCTCTTGACCATCGCAAAGTCGGTAAAGGACACGAGTAGGAAGAGGCAATTTTACTTTCATAGACTTCTCGAACTCATCAATCTCTTCTTCAGAAGCACCTGGGCGCAAAGTGGGTAAAACCTCTGGGAAGTTGGTAGCTAACCAGTCCTTGAGTCTGCCCCAGCATCTTTTAGCACGGAGGACGAGTGGCCATGGGTACAAAGTGAATTCTTCTCTCCATGATTGATATGCTGCCTATATATGAAAGGAGAAAACACCAACTTTTGATATGACCAGCCCTTCACTTAGTATGTGAAGGAGAATTGATAAATACCTCAAGAACCCAAGTGCAGACATTGATAAACTGAGTTTGGACACAGATAGTGTTAGGTTACACGACTGTAACCGAGTCTGTATGAAATTTATCGATAAAATCAGTGCGAACATATTCCAATACTCATTTCATTATGCAGGAACTGAACTTTTTTGCTCATCTAAACACCCATGATTGTCAACACAAATTTCTAATTGGGGGAAAATTTGTGAAATTTAAACCATCATCCAATTCAGCATTACCTATTTAAGATAACATCCTTAGTACACCTAGAAGTTAGACTGAAAAATATTAATAGAAAAAACAAAGAAGCGTTCGAATGAAGATAACTACCATCGGAAAATTAAGAATAAACACACACACACACACAGACACCCCCTGCCCATAAAGAAAATAGAAAAGAAAAACGGAGAGAGACCTTGAAAGAAGGTGCTGTATTCCCGTTTGGATCAAGGGGAGAAGAGAGATCGAGATCGTGGGAACAGAACTGGGCCCAAAGGGAATCTTCGGAGGCCCAAACCCGAAAGCGCTTGCTGAGGCAGGAAATCGAGGCGGCCTCCAGTGGCCCCAATTTGCAGAGGATTATGTGCATCGCCAGCCCACCAACGCTCTCCAAACCCATTTTTGCCTTCTTTTGACTTCACCGATAGGTTGTTTTCCCAGTGATTGGTAAGATCTAACATATATAATCTGTCGATACTATTCAGATTTCAGGAAAGAGAGTGTGAAAAGAAATGTCTTTAATAGCAGATTTGGACTTCCGAAATAGAGTTCAGGAAGAAGACGACGGAACAAAAAAAAAGGTACAACACGCCTCAGTTAACCAACAGTATATGCTTTCTATATTCAATTAGAA